AAATAGAGGAAAGAGGTAGGAGGCAAAGGGCATTTATAGAGGTCTAAATACAGGCATGTACATATGTAAATATATTTATATATGATGACAGGGAATTGCGCCTATAAATTTATGTGCATATATTTAGAGGTTTAGTATTAAGGTAGCAGATGGACGTTGGGCCTCCACTCAAGTACTCCCTCAGTGCAATTACACTTTGTTTTATTATATTGGCATTCCATGATGCTCACCTTCCTTACTATCACTGAAAACAAATGTGTGCATAAGCAAATGTGGTGAAGAAAGCTGATGGTGCCCGGCTATCAAAAGATAGAGTGTCTGGGGTCTTTAAAGGCTTGAAGATAAACAAACGGCCATCTAGCTCAGAAACAACAAAGCCCACATGGAAGAAGCACACCAGCCTGTGTGATCACAAGGTGTCGAAGGGATCAGCTATCAGGCATCAAAGAACAAAAAATCATATCATTGTGAATGAGGTGGGGTGCAGATTGGGGACCCAAACCCCTTCTGTAGGCAACTGGACATCTCCTTACAGAAGGGCCGCAGGGAGGAGACCAGCCAGTAAGGGTGCAGGGTAGCAATGATGAAAACATACAACTTTCCTCTAGTTCTTAAATGCTTCTTCCCCCCCACTGTCATAATCCCAGTTCTACCTTACAAATCTGGCTAGAACAGAGGATGGACACTGGTACTGATAGGAACTGGAAACACGGAATCCAGGACAGATGATCCCTTCAGGACCAGTGGTTAGAGTGGCGATATTGGGAGGGTGAAGGGAAGGTGGGTTAGAAAGAGGGAATCAATTACAAGGATCTACATATAACCTCCTCCCTGGGAGACAGACAGCAGAAAAGTGGGTGAAGGGAGACATCGGACAGTGTAGGACATGACAAAATAATAATAGCTTATTAATTATCAAGAGTTCATGAGGGAGGGGGTAGCAGGGAGGGCGGGGGGGAAAATTAGGAGCTGATACCAAGGGCTCAAGTAGAAAGCAAATGTTTTGAGAATGATGATGGCAACAAATGTACCAAGGTGCTTGACACAATGGATGGATTGTGATGAGTTGTATGAGCCCC